GGGGGGGGGGGGACCACGCACCTGGAGCGTGTCGGCGAAGAGCACGATGAGGTTCTTCAGGTCCAGGACCAGGTCGGGGTCGGAGCAGTAGGACTGAAACCAGAGAGAGGGCGAGAGCCACTGAGCCGCTGCGCTCCCGTGGCCGCTCCTCTCCACGAGGCTCGGGGCAGAGCGCTGCCGTGCCACCTTCCGCCCGGCCAGCCTTGGCCTGCCTCCGTGGGCACACGCCCTCGGCCCGCTGCCTTCGGAAGGACGCTAAGGCTCTTCAGAGGTCCAATTATGACCCTGACTCTGGCGAACCACAGCCGAGGCGACTCGCCCAGGGCTGCCGCTTCGCACGGGTCCACGAAGGGGAGTGCCACGTTCTGTGCGACTAAAAAGGGCCCCTGGGTGGAGGCGACGAGGGCAGCCAGGCACCTGCCTTGTGCGCCAGAGCGGCCGCCACGGGGCAGCAACGGCCAAGAAGAACCCTCTTCGGTGCCTTGGAGTGGCTCCAGGTACCATTTTTGGCTGCCGTGGGGGGGGGGGCAATGTGGCCCCCAGACCTCCCAAAGCTGCCTGCCCATTTTGCCCAAGGGGGAAGCCCAGCCCACCGCAGGGGGCCATTTTTGGCAGGCGCCTGGCTCAATCCAGGAGGGCTCCTGCGCGGGTTGCAGGCACCACCGACCCCTTCCTCCCCCGCGGCTGACGCACCCCCCCCGCCGGCCACTCACCGAGTGCGTCCGCAGCGCAGCGATGGCCTTCGACAGCGCCATGTCCCACAGCTCGTCGATGTAGGCCCTGTCCACCAGGCCCTGGCTCGTGTGCAGGACGTGGTCCTCGATGACGAAGAAGCTGCCAGGAGAGAGCGCCCACCTCGTGCCTGCCGGGTGTTTCAGCCTTCGAGCTCCCACAACCCCGGCCTCAACGGCCCCTGCTCGGCAGTGCCGGGAGCTGCCGCCCAGGCCATTCGGGGCTACCAAGCTGGGCAGGGATGCCTGAAGCCCATTTGGGACCGGGCACTCGGTGCCGAGCGCTGGACTGCACCCACCCACACACTGCACTGAACAGAAAACGGCAGCAAGGGCTGCCCGGCTGTCCTGGAAGAGGAGGGGGGAAGGTTCACAAGCCTGAGGCCGGTGGGACTTCGCCACGGAGAGGGGAGACACCAGGGACCCAGAGAGCACGTGCCATCGCCGCTCACGCTGGTGGAAGGCGGACAGGGAAGCGGAGGGCCTCGCTCAACCCGCCTTGCCGCTTCCAGAGAAAGAGGGCCGACCGTTTCCCCAGCAGCTGGCCCCACTGCCTTCCCTCAGGTCCAGCACACCAGCTCCCTTGACTCCCCCGAGAGCTGAAGCTCGCAAAGGGCTCCCCACCCTCCCGTTGGCGTCACGAGAGCGGAATTGCAAGTACACGCGAGGAGCGCTTCCCCCCTCGTGGCGACTCCTCCGAGGTGTCCGAGAGAGAACACGCCTTTGGGAAAGGGGTCCTCCTCGCAGCACGAAAGCAGCACGAGCACGGCCGGGTGAGGAAGGCAACACCTACCCGACGATCTGACTGAAGTACTTGCGATAGCCGCCCAGGGTCTCGTGCTAGAAGGGACGGGAGAAAGAGCAAGATCAGCCGCGGGCAGCCGGAGCGAGGGAGGAGCCCTGGCGGGCCCCGCGGCAGCGCCTACCATGTTGGAGGGGGGCTGCAGCACCAGCCGGGCCTGCTTCCTTCTCTGCTTCCGGTAGTAGTTCTCGAAGGTCTCTCGGGCTCCCTGAAAAGAGGAGCACGAGTCACATCCACGATGCCCAGGCCGCAGAGAAAGTGACGCCTCTGCGAGGCTCAACCAAGAAGCCCCTTCCGGCCCCGCACGGCGAAAGGGCTCAGGCCACCCAAGCGATTTGGAGCGAGTGCAGCTACATGCCAGAACGCCGTGGTCCCGAAAGCCTTCCGCTGCACCGTGGGGCCTGGGGCCCCCGAGGGACGTGGCAAAGCTTCGGCGCAGACCCTGAGACCCTGCGCCACGGCAAAGCCACGTGTCTGGAGCAGCCGTGCCCATTCAGCGCCTGTGAGGGCCCCGGGTGGAGGCGGTGAGCCCCGTCGTGCCTGCACAGGGATGCGGCTGACCCTTCCCGCTCGCCCACTGGCAGCAGCCGGCCGGCGCTTCCCAACCATCCCTCCAAAGGAGCCACGAGCCGCCTCGTCACGTCACGCCCACCCAGCTGCTCGATCGCTTTCAGCACCGCCCCCGCCCTCGGGCTGCAGCTGGACTCCCCTTTCAACTGCCTGGCCAGGGAAGTGGAGGCAGTATTGCGGGGCTTGGGAGAGGCCAGGCGTCGGCAAGGAAGAGCCTGCCAGGCCCGGTGATGCTGAGCTCCCCCGGCCCCCCGGCCGCCTCCTCAGGGCCTCCCCGCAGAGGGCAGAGCGGGGCATGGTGAAGAGCGCGAGCGTGGTGTGCACGGGGGCTGTGCTGGGGCAGACCGAGCCGCCGGTTCCTGTGGCAGCGGCCGGCAGCCCGAGGTGATGGCCCTCCTGGCCGCGCTCCACCGCGAGGCTGGCCGTCGGCACACAGCGCTGGGCCTTGGGGGGATCCGTAGCAACCCAGCTAGGAACGTCCACAATGGTGGCCGTCGCTCCTCCCGGGAAGTCGATTCAATGGTTTAAACGGGCGCTTAGTGAAGGCCATCCTTCTTTTTAACAGCCCTGAAATCTCTCACCGGTCCCCTTCACGAGATGATGCTGGCTTCGAGTATCGTTAGACAGGGAGAAGTCTTCAGAATTGGCACCGCAGTGGCCGTTGTACAGTCCTCTCTACAGGCTTATCGTAAGAAACTGTCGCATGACGCGTTGAAAGATCGCCAACGGCATATCTGAGCTCGCTGAAGAGCCCCGGGTGGGCACTCTGGCGACCGCTGTGGCTCTCTGTCTTCAGGAGGGTCTAGGGGGCACCGTCTCTTGCCTGGACTCGGGGCCCTCGGCAAGTGCCACCGGCCCCGCACTTCCACAGAGGAGCCACGCAGGTGTCCTGGAGTGTCCCAGCCGTCCTCTAGCAGCCCTTTGGCTCTCTTGCCCTCCGGTGGATCCCAGCCTCAGCATTTCTTTTATTGCTTTTATTCTTTGGGGAGTTCTGGGTTTGCCTTTGTTCTTCTCATCTGGGCAAGTTTAAGATGGCCTCCTTTCTGAGGCTCTTAAGAACTTACTCAGACACCCAGAGGTCCGAGAGGGTCACTGGGGTCTTGCATTCTCTCCTCTCCTCTCCGTCTCTCATTGTAATTCTGTTTAAAACTTGTCAATATTTTTCCTGATTTTATGATTTTTTAAAATTGTACTTTTATCATCTGTTTTTATAGACTGTGCATAAAACCGCCCAGAGAGCTTTGGCTGTGAGGAGGTATAGAAGTGTGTGTGTGTGCGTGAGAGAGAGAGAGAGAGAGAGCACGCAAGCGAGCGCTCTAATGGCTTCCTGGACACTGCTCATTAATCAAGCTGGTGGCCTCTCCGACTTGCCTTTCCTGGCCTGCCATAGTCATACTAGCTGAGCGTCTGTCACTGCAGTTATGAGTGACTCCCAAGCTTTCAGGAGAGAAATGGCTGCCCTGAGGTTCTCTTTCTACTTTCTTTTGCCAGTTCCCTCAGTGCTGAAGTCAAATATGGCTCATTTGGCCAAGTGCCACGTATGTATACACTCAAGTCAATAGCAGTGCAGTCAGTTTCCCGCAGGCTCAACAGCGCTCAGGTCTCCAAGCCCCTCTCCTGTAGAGGCCCACCTCATCCCCTGTGATCTGTTCTACGGCCAAACGTCCGAGGCCACCTCCATGCCTGGCCCAGCAGATGCCTGGGGAGGGCCTGACCCCAGCCGACGGGTGCCAGGCTGGGCGCCCGGGTTCAGAGCTGGCTGAACACGGCGCAGGGGCAGCAGGATCCAGGAAACAGGCACGGCTCTAGGCCAGCAATGGGGGCTTCCGCCTCCAGGCAGAGGGAGCTGCCCGTGGGAATCCCCACGCGAGGAATCTGTGGTGATCAGCTCAGAGCCCTTCTTTGAGCTGCTCCGGCTTGTGCGCCAGGGGCCTGTTGTTTGGCAACAGACGGAGGAGCAAGGCGGCCGTTTTTCATCCTTCCAGCCTGTTCTCCCGGCTTAGCACTGAGGCCCAGCATCTCCTCAAGCACTTTTCCGCCAACACGGAGCCGAAGCCTGACATGGAAACATGACGACATTCCTGTGAAACCCCGGCCACAAGCGTAAGAGAGCAATGGCGCAACTCCGAAGAGGCTGGTTGGAGAAGGGAAGAGGAATCGTGGCGCTGGCTGCAGCTGCCGCTACCTGGATCCTACCAGGAGGCTGGCCAGGGCGGTCATCACAGGTCACTGACACCCCTTCCACCTAATGGCTTTCCTGCGTCCTTATCACTGCCGCACACAAAGCATCTGCCTGCGGCCTTTTCCCTGTGACCTCAGCCCTGTGTTTACAGCTATCTAGCTCCGCCAGGCACTGCTGGGTCAGCCAAGTCGCCGAGGCACGCCAGGGCAGGCCGGCGGGGCCCGAGGCGAACGGCCGAGGCAGCACTGGAGCAGGCCAAGGAGCAGCTTCACCCTTGGCTTCTGCTCCTGCAGGGACACTGCCAGAGACCACCACAACGCACGGGTGCGCGCCCCCTCGAACGGGCGTTCCGCAAACAGGCCAGCACCCAGAGACACCTCTGGGCTCCATGGAGAGCTCCCCTCCCTCCCGCCCCTTTTGAGGTGCAGAAACGCTGCAAGACTCCGGGGGCCTCTGGCGGCAGCTGAAGCAGCTCACGCCCCGCATTCGCCCGGCCCACCCTGCACAAGCGAAGGGCGGCCCGGCAGTGGGATCCGGCGGAGCAGCCTGTGCCCGGCGACGGCAGGCTTCAGAGTGGGACCACACAACAGCCCAAGCGCGGCTCCAGGCCCTCCCGGCCCCTGCCCGGGGGCTCCCCCGGACAAACGACTCATGAGCACACTTGAGCCGCCCACTGCTACGGAGGGCTCTGCCCTTCCTGGGCCACAAACATTAGGAAATGCCCCGCCTCGCGCCCAAGGCACGTCCAGCGGCACCAGCTCCTGCAGGAGCCCATCGCAGGCCACCCGCCGTGGGGGGGAGCCGGTCGGAGCACCCCGGACGAAGCCGCCTCCGTGCAGAGCCGTTCCGTGCACCGGAGAGAAGGGCGCCTTCCCCGCTGCTCTCCCAGACGTGCGGGCGCACGCACGGAATGTCTGCCGGAGCCGCTGCCCCGAGTCACGCGAAGGCCTCCGCTCTGCTCGCCACGGCCTGACCCTGGCCGGCTTCCCTCCCCATCGGCTGCCCTTCCTGCCTGCCAGAGTTCAGCACTTCCTGGAAAGTCTCCATGCCTGTTTGATATTGTACTTCATCTCCGCTGCCGAAGGAAGGATTTACAGGTGCCCGGCCCGTCTCCAAGACCATGACCGAGCACTGACCTCGTGGCACAATACGTGAACTCCTGCCCTGCTGATAAGGAGGCCTGGCAGATACAGGCAGGGGCTTTTCAAATAATCCTTTGGGAACTTATAAGCTGCTCAGCCATAAAAGTGAGGTGACAGGAAGGTCGGGTTCTCTAAAATAATAAATACCACAGTATTTATTCAAAGTGGGTCTTTTCAACTGTAGGCCAAGCACTTAGATAACGCTATTGTAAATGACAAATATTAGCATTTTGGGGAGTTATTACATTATGATCCTTCCGGCTGAAGCCAATGTGAACGTTTTCCCTGGTGCCCGCCTGACCGCTGACACAACGTGATCTAAGAGCAGAGCCTTGAAAGCCCGTTCAGGAAGTCGGCCCAAGGCCGGGAACGCGCCTCTTTCTCCTGGGTCTCTCCGAGGTCACGCTCGGCGGCTGGTGGCACACGCCACTGCAAAGCCAAAGCCGCTGCTTCGGCTTCAGGCACGGGCACTTTCTGGGCCTTCATTTTTCCCGTGCAGCGCGAGGCAGTGGGACTCGGTCGCTAGCAAAAGGGGTCCGCAAGCTGACTGGAGACGGGGGAAATGAAGAGGGGGCTCTTCGAGGTGGATAAGCTACGGAGCCATCCCTTTTGGCAACTGACAGGGAAGCGGCGCCAGGGAGGTGTGCCGATCCAGCAGGAGGGCTGGGACGAGAAACGCCTCGCCTTGGCCAGGGGCGCAAGACGCAGGACGCCACTTCTGCGGGGCGCAGAGGCGAGCGAGGAGCTGTGCTTCTCAGCCCCGCTCAAGGACGTTGCCTGCTGCCCCGGCAAAGGACACACGATCTGGCGCACGATTAGAGCAGGCACCCAGCACAGCAGCGGCGGCTGCACACGCCCGAGCCGGCGAGCGGCGGCGAGCACAGCGTGACCGCGAGGAGGAGGCTGGTTCAGGGGCGCCGGCCGGGCCGAGGGGCTGCCCAGGCCCCACGCTGACGCCAGGGGAGGGAGGCGCGCCGCCAGCCTCCGGGGGCCGGCCCAAAACCGCAGGCGCTCGCTGGTGAGGCCTCGCCCCCACACCCGCCTTGCGAGTGCCCGCGGGGAAGTGCGCCGAGATGCCGCTGCGCCACCTCGGGTCCCCCATCGAAACAGCGTCGCGCACGTCTGCACCTCGACCTGCACCTGCCCCACCTACGTCCCCCTTTGATACATCAACTTGGTGCCACTTCCGCCTTTCCCCGGCCGCTGCACTCCGGCACCTGCGGCTGGCAGGGAAAGCACAGTGCCTTGCCGGGACCGGCGTTCACCCCGGCCCTGACGCCAGCCCAGGCTTTATGATGCAGGACCTGCTGAAAGACTTGTGCTACCCCTGAAGGCACGTCTGGATGAAGCAGGGGAGGCTACTGGGCTTAAGCCAAAGCTGCCTCGGAAGAAGTGTGTATCCACCTGCAATGCTCACTTTCTGGCTGGGCTATGAAAGGAGAATCAGCATAATACTTTGCATTCACTTTATGACAGGACTAGAAAGGCAGATGATAATTGCAAATAAAAAGACGATCCTAGATCAGTGTAAGCCCTGGTGCGCACGCTCGCGTATTTTCATGTCTGTTTCACCCAGAAAGTGATGCTCTCTCTATACAGATGGGGCAGAGCGGCAGGGAGGCCAACCGGCAGCTTCTCAAAGAGTCCAGGTGTCCCTTCAGACTTCCTCCCAGAGTCTGGCAATGAGAGAGAGATGCGCCTCACTTACCAGCACCGAATAGATGTGCAAGCAGCGGTACACGGGTGAAAAATCCACCAGGTCCTGGGCACCAGGCACCTAAAGGGATGTCGACAGAAACATGTGGATCAGCTGGAAATGAAAGGTGGAAACACATCTGGAAATGAAACAGGTACGGGGGCAGGGAAGGGAAAGAAAAGAAAAGGAGAACCGTGCTGGAAATCGCAGGAGGGAAGCAGAAGGACCAGGAAGGGATGTGTTCTCGGAGGTGGGCTGTCATTTTGCCCTGCAGGTCACGGGCCAGCAGTGGAAAGACCCCCCCACCCCGCCGCCCCATTGCCAGTGGCCGTCAGTATTCTCGCTGCTGGCCTCAGCTGCTGGAGGTGGACGGCAGGAGCAGGGCCGGGAGGCCGAAGGTAGCACACCGGCTCTTGGCCCATGGCGACTGATCCTTGAAGCGACTGATCCTTGAAGCCATGGCATGGGAGTGCAGCAGGCAGCGGACGCCAGAGTGGGTCAGCCAGGCTTCCCCTGCCCTGCAGTTTGGCCAGATGCTTTGAGATATCACGGGCAAGTGCCAGCTCTGGCAAATGGGGAATGACTCATCTGGGGCAAAACCCCCACAGTTCCAGTGCTCTATGAAGCAGGATGCTGGGAAGATAGGCACTCCTGGCACAAACCGCGGGAGGACCGTCCTGGAACAAGGAAGCCCCGTTCGACCAACGCGCTGCCCTTCCGTCCCTCCAGAAGGCCACCGCCCGCGGGAACAGCCCCGGGGCCTCACCTCCGGAGGCCTGAGGGCAGCTTGCCCAGCCAAGCCCCGTGGGACGCAGTCACGGCACAAAGCCCAGGTGTGGCTCGCGAGGCACCGAGAGGAGAGGAGGCCGGAGCGGCTACGCCGCTGGCCGCAGGGAGGTTTCCAGTCATGCCGAGAAGGGCAACGGGGGCAAGCAGGCAAGGGCGACTGGCTCTGACTGGCGGAAGCTGCCGTTCTCCTCCAAGCAACGGAAAACCGTTCCTGTGCCGGGCGGACGGCCACGGCAGTGCTCTGCTCCAAGTCCCTGCCTGCGCCGCCCTGCGGATCCATTTGCCAGAAAGCGCAGGGACAGCTGGGGGAGCCTGGCACGGCCCAGGGCACTGGGAGGCGACACCGAGCAAGAACCCATTGCTGCTGCTGAGCGGGCGGTGGGCAGGCGCGGAGCCCCCCCGGGAGCAACTGAGCAAGCGCTTCCGTTGGGAAGGGTTTCTGCAACAGTGGCTTAGCCACACACTTGCCTGAAATCCTGTTCTGCATAATTAGTGGAAGCGACATAAGTAGAGAACACACCTGTCAGATGCTCTTGAAAAGTTTGCAAACACTGGAGCGTTGTAATCTATCAAAGGTTTGCCGAAACTGCCAGTGGAATAAGTTTGCAGATTTAAGCTTTTAGGAAAATTTGTGTGTGGGGGGGGCAGGTTTCCACCCCTGGAAGTCCTTCAAGGAATGGCTGGATAGGCACTGCTAGAAGGTGCTTCCCACACAAAGCACCCTTCCTCAGGAAAGGGAGTTTCATGACACGACCAACACGCCTCTTGCTCCAGTGTAACCTCGCAAAGATTCTGAGACTCGGCCTCCAACGGGCAACATTTTCCAGAAAAATTGGGTGTTTCGCTTCCCGCTGTGCTTGCAACCCAAGACTGTTCTTGCTCGGCTCCGTCCGTGTGATATTTTCGCTCATCCATTTGTCCGACTAAGCTTCCACCCTTAACCTTCCAGCACGATGGAACGAGGAATATTTCAACATCTTTTAAACTGTGATTTATGTGCATGTGCTACTGGCTGAAGCCTTTTTGCCTGGCAAGCCTTTGGCTTGACTGCAGCCTTACTTGCAGCTCCCCTGCGTACGGCTCGCCGGAAAGTTGCTCTTTCTTAAGCGCTGCACGTTTAGCAAAGGGGTTTTGCGCTGCACATCACTCCCCGTTCAGTAGCAGCCGCTTCAAGCTCCTCATGGCCAGACTGAGAGAAGTGGGCTACAACATGCACGGGAAACGCTGTTCCGCCCGCCCGCCCGTTGACCCGGACGCTCCCTGGGCGGCTTCTGGCAAGGCTCCCTCGCTCCCGGGGTCAGGCAGCTCCTCCATCCGCGTCGGACCGGCATGCGTTGTTCACGGCCCGTCCTGCGCTCAAGAGGGCCTGCAACGGCAGCCGCTCGGGGCCGAGATGAGGTCCCTCCGCAGGAGCAATCCCCTGGCCCCTCCCCACAAGGGTCAACATAACCAGCAAGGGAACGGTCTGTGTGCCCCCCCCATGGAGCCCACTCCGCAGTACGAAGCGCTGCATCCCCCTGGGGCCAGCGCACAGCCCCGGCAGGCAAACGCGGCGCTCCGGGGCCACGACAGTGCCTCCCCAGCTGGCCCCCTGCCGTCACCCTCCTGCAGCGGCCCCCGACTGCACTGCCGCATCCCCACCGAGGGGAACACCTGCCTCCGGGAGCCGAGCGAGGTACAGCCTGGGCTGCTCAGGGGACGGCTGGCGCAGGTGGGGCAGAAGGGGGCACACGCCCCGCGACCAGGCCGCCGGGGCCCCTCCCAGGGTGCTGCACCGGGCCTGCGCCATCCTCCCACGTGGGCCGGCCCGCTTGGGACCCTTCGAGTTGCATCGCTTGCCCCAGCCCTGCACGAGGAACAGCTGGTACGGGGTGCCCCCCGCTCCACGCTCCCCATATTCTCAGGGAACGAACAGAGAAACAGGGCGAGCCGGAAGGGGCCTGCCGGGCCATGTAGCCTGACCCCCGCTCCGGCCGGCCCCGCTCACAACACGCCCGCCATGCGCACGCCCAGCCTGTCCCGGGACCCCCCACCCCAAGGGGGCCGCGACCGCCTCCCCCGGAACAGCAGGACCAAAGCACGCAGCCTCCCGGCGTCAGCCAGGGCTGCAGGGAGCCAGCGCCACGGGGGGTGCCATCCCCCGTGAGAGGCTGTGCGCAGGGCGCCTCCACCTTCAGCCACGTCCACGCAGGGATCAGCCACGTGGCAAGCGGGCCCCGCCCCCGGTGACCTGTGCGTGCACTTGCCTCCTCCTCCTCTTCGGCCTCCAAGATCCCAGAATCCTGCCCAGAGGCCGGGCGGGTAGCTTTGGCCCCCGGGTCTGCGCTCGCCCGAGCCTCCTTCCTGGCTCTCCCGCAGGCCGCTCCGGTGCGCTGGGCGACGATGCTGTCCAGGTTCCTCTGGTGCTGGGCCTAGGGCAGGATCGGGTGGAGAGCTCAGTCCGCGAACCCCCCGCTGCCGCCCTGCGTGGGAAGCCACGCTGGCCCAGACAGCACCACGGAATCCGGCGCTTGCCCCCCACCCCTGCCTCTCTGGGGGGTTGCGCAAGCGCACCCGGATCCCGCTCCGGAGCCCAGCGCCCTGCCAGACCTAGCGGTTTACGGCCCAGCTGCAGCGATGTGGAAGCTGTCGCCGGATGCATTAAGGACCAAGCGTTCCTTTCCTTTGGACTCATTCCTCCTTTTATCCCATGTCCATAAAAGCCTTCCACATCTGGGCCCCAGAGATCCATGAAAGCATTCCTGCTGCATCCTGGGAAATCGGAACAGTGCGCCGTGGACGGCGCCACCTGCAAGATGCATGCTGCCCGCAGATGGGGCTCCCCCAAGGCAGAGTCCCTCCCTGCAGAAGGGACAGCTTGCCCCCCGCCCTCGCCCCCGTTTTGCCACAGTCCCTCATCATCCTCGCCCCGGCCCGTGGGAAACATGATGCCGGGGGTGTGGGGAGCCAGCCTGGCCCACAGGGAGGCCAGCGAGAGGAAAAACGGGCCAGAGCGACGCTCAGTCGAACTGACAGTCTGGCACAAGGCAGGGGTGTCCCTGCCCGGTACAGCGGGGCGGGAAGGAAAACCCACTTGCACAAGGCGCGTGCGCCTGGAGAGGAAACTGCAAGAGGCGTTCCCAAGAGCCGGTGGGCACCACAGCCACCTGGACGACAGCCGGGCAGCCTCCCGCAGGGAACAGGGACGCTCCCGGCCATGCGCGCACGAAGGCTGTGAGCGGCGTGGCCACAAGACCGCAGGGCTGAATGGAGGCGTGCCGGTCTCCCGGGGTGCTCCTGCGCTTGCGCCTCCACTCCGAGCACGGCGTTCACTGCTCACAGTGCCTTCCACAAGCCCAGCATTTCCCCCGAAGAAGGAAGGGGGCTCGTCTCGCCGAGGCGAGGACCCGCCTGGCATCCAACCTCGGAAGGGGAAGTGGGGGAATGGCCGGGGGGCCCAGGAAGGTGCAGGAGCCCGGCCGGGTCTCCCCGGAGCAAAACCAAGACCCGTAAGAGATGGGCTGGCACAGGCAAGGGCCCTCCCCTTCTGGCCCGGGGAGGGGATTGTCTTGATTCAGCCACTGCCCCCTGCCACACCGCCAGGTTTCCTCTGCAGCAGGTGCCCACGAGGCGGCTCCGGCCCCACACCGGAGAGCCTGCGAGCTGCTCAGGGACTCCCCTGGCCAGCGCTGCCTCGCCCGACGGAGCACAGCCGTGCGCAGCCAGCAGGACGCCACAGGCGAGACGGGGCCGTGCCGTGGCGCTGCGAGCCCTGGGCAGCCACGGCAAGGAGGCCCGGAAGGGGAGGCCGCGCTCCCTGCAGGCCCGGCTGGAGCCGGCTGTCTCTCGGGCCCAGGCCATGGAGCAGCGGCGCTTGGCCCCGCTCGTTCACACCCTGGCCAGATGAGTGCCAAGAAGCGCCATGCCTCCATACCAAGAAATGCCACGTTGTCCTCAAAGCGGTTTAAGGGGTGGAACCGCTGCAAAAAGAAACACGCCAAACCAAACTGCCGGGCGATAATGAGGCAACTTTTCTAAAAGGTAAGTTGGGCAGAGTGGGGTTTGCCCAAAGTAACCAGCAGGGATCCTGCCACAGAGTCAGAGCGCTGGCGCTGGCGTGGGGGGGCTCGTGCCAGAGCGCCAGGGCGCTATGGAGGAAATCGAGCGTCCCACGCGCTCCGGGGATGTGCCAGACGCCCCACCGAGGCCGTCGGAAAGGAAGCTCGCTTCAGCCTGCGGGACGGAGCAGGCGGGTCCTCCGTCGTGGCACAGCCCTGACCTCTTGTGGCAAAGCCGGGCAGAATCAGCGCCGGCCTATTTCCCCACAGAGGCATGCGCAGGCCCTGCGCAGCTACACAACTGCTAGGTCCCCCTCCTTCCCCGCTATGTGGCCGGCCCCCGCTCAAAGGGTCTCGGCAGCCCCCCTCCAGCACACCGCAGGCCTCCCCTCCTCTCCCGCCGCCAGTCCTGCTCTGCCTCAGCACCCAAAGCCCCCCTCCTCAGACCCTGCCCAGCCTCCCGGAGGAGGCGGGCAGCACCCGTTTCCCCGCAGACCCCCACCCGCCGCCCGCTGAGCCCTCCCCTCCGCCCTTGTCCCAGGGGCAGCAGCAGTGCAAGACGGCAGGGCTCACGTGGCCCAGCACCCCCTGGCTGCCCCAGCACCCCCGCGCAGCAGGGGAGGGCCCTGGCCCCCCCGGGCATCCGGCCCCCGGGACAGGGAGCCCTGCAGCGGCCTGCCTCCCCCTCAGCAGCGCACGGGGCCCCCTGTGCAGCCACCCAAACGCGAGGCCGCCCTGCCTCTCGTGGAAGCGCGCCCTGCCGGTGAAGAAGCCCCCCCCCCCGCCCGCTGGCTCCCTGGGAAGACCCCGTGCCGTGAGACCCGCAGGCGTGCGCTGCAGGAGCTCCCGCCACACCGTGCCGCGGGGCCCAGGAAGGGGGCGCCCCACGCACAGCGCTAGCAATGGGCGCCTCCACCGGGGCGAGGGAAGCCAGCGGAGCCCAGGCGGGGGGCCCACGGGCACTGCCTCTGCACTCGCCCCCCCTCTGATCCTCAGGGGAACCCACACCCCTTCCTTTTGTAGACCCAATTTTAATTACTTTTCCACCTAAAATGCAACCAAAAAACACTTCATTTACAAACAAAAACGTATAGAGTCAAGCTTGCAAGGAAAATCATGCTTACAATACGGTGCTCGCCACCACCAGGACCAATGATGCATGTGGCCATTTCAAACAAAAACGTATTCAAACATTTCCGCATTCTCCCCTTCCAAAACTGTAATAATTCTTTTGATGCCTCGAATCCTTCTCCTTTTATATCAGTGAATATTCCCAAAATAACACTGAATTTCTTTCCATGCCCTTTTCTCATTTTAAACTCACATGTTACTTTGTCATTAATAGCTATATTCCAAACTTCTCTAAACTAATCAGACAATTGGCAATCATATTTTACTTTGCAATTCTTAGCTATAATTAATCTTGCTGCAGTTATTCAATTTGTTATTAATTATTATTCCAGCTCATTGGTTTTTATCAAATACTGAAAGTAATGCAATTCCGGGGCAAACAGCTAGACTTAGCATTTTACTACACTCTTTAAAAAACTTCTTTCCAAAATGTTTTTACATATTTACATTCCCACCAAATATGGAAATATGTACCCACTTCATTAAAAGAATTAAAAGAATCTCAGTCTCTTAATTAGACCATCTCTGCTAAATCTCAGATATTAAATTTCTATTTATAAGAAAATAAAAGTATTATTTAAATGGTAGAAAGCCCTTTCCTTAAAATATATTACAAATCTGGAACAAGTATATAGAAAACATATGCCATCAACCTCACCATTATGCCCAGTTATTGATTTAGAAGGGTTTCCATTAAACTTAAGGGAAATTTTAGGGAAAATGCTAAGGAATAAACAAATGGTAAGGTTAAAAGGTTAAAAGATTGGTTAGAAAAAATGAATACAAATGGGTAAGGAGAAAATAACTCGGTATAATGTGAATTCAGTTAGAAAGTTGGACTAGATCAGTGGTGGTGAACCCATGGCATGCGTGCCGCAGTGGGCGCACAGAGCCCTCTCTGTCTCCCTCTTGCACCGCCATGGCCAACTCCCAGGCGATGGCCACGCCAGGCCGGCCAAAGAGGCCGAACGCACAGGCAGCCTGGAGCAGCGCCTGCTTTAGACCCCTTCCCGGAAGGCTACTCGGCCCCGGGGAAAGAGAGCCCTCCAGACAAGTTCTGGACCAGCAATGTTCTGCCCCCAGACAGGTCAAACCTGCTTCGGAACCACAGAGCAAGACAGCAAATAGGAATGAACGCGAAGGGTGGGACTGGAAGAGCACGGGAGCCGAGCCGAGTCCAGGAAGCCACCGAAAGGCGCATCACGCCTGATTGCCACACAGGGGGAGCGAGGGAACGGTCCGAGAGGGGGGCGCCTGGCAGGACTGGCCTCTGCCGGCCCGGAGCTGCTCCGCCAACGGACGCGCTCTGCTCCCGCCTTACCCACGGCCAGCGATGAAAGGGGCGGCACCCACTTCTTTCCATGGGCGACTTAGCTCCATTCGCTCCCACTGCGTGGCACCTTAAGCTTTAAAGCTATACGTCCAGTCTGGGAGCATCGATTCATAAAGGCATCTTCGTTTGTTCGCTGGGCTTCTGTGCTGCTGCCACAGCGCATATCTGGGCTCTCCGCACGGCTCAAAGGTTGCCCCAGGAGGCACTCGGTCCTCCTCGGCAGCTGGAAAGCCACACCTTTGTATACCGGGATGTGGATGGGAAGAAAGCGCCTGGCACAGGCAAAGAGGGGGCTGCTGAGCAGGACGGTTGTCCTTACTGGGCGGGTTTGCCCGTTCGACAAGACCCTTCCATGAGGGCATTCCTGTGGCGCATTCTTCCCTTGCATGCACACTGCACAACCCAGGCGTGGCGTCCGGGCTGCTCCCAGGGCTCGGTTACATGTTTCTCCCTGGCATTTTTGAAGAAAAATGAAAAGAGGACTGCTGCGAGGGCTGGGCACGCGCCTCACTCCTTGGGGGAAGGGGGGCCCAAGCCCGGTCTTTCAAGCGTGCTCTAGTCTCCTTCTCCCAAGACCCCCTCCCCCAGGGGACCTGAGCCTCTCCTAGGGCTGCCTTCCCTTCCGGGAGAGCCGCACACCTTGTCTGAAAGGCCACGCAGCCACTGGATCCCGCTCTCCACCAAACACACCTCCTCTCCAAGAAGCTGGAGGGGGGGGCCTTTCCCAGATCCTGCCTTCATTCCAGGGAGCCCCCCCCCCCCCCGCATCCGCCCAGAGAGCCACTCGGCAAAGCGCTTGGCGCCCGAGGGCCCCAGCCCGCCCCTCTCCTGCCTCCCCACCCTAAGACACAGGGCACCCAAGACGTGCACAACTCAGGGACCAGCGGGGGGAACCACCACGGATCGCGGG